TCATAAAATTGATTTAAACGTTTGAAAACGAAGATGCAATAAAAAAATAATGCATTACCTTCCATAAATCTGCCCAAAATTGGAGATTTTTATAACATTAGTGTTATGAGGTAAATATCTATACATAAAATTTTTAATTTGTTTTAATATTTTTTAAGAAGGTGATAAAAAAATTGTCAATTATCCTTATTATTCTTAAAACGAATATTATTAATTCAGAATCTAACGAGGAATTAAAACATACCAGTTGGTTATTTTTTTAATTAAGTATCTAGATGGTAATAAAAGTGGAAATGTGATGTTGGAGGCTCATTTGATGGACTTACAATGATGACAACATTAGGTGTAAAACTATACAACTTGTATATTGAAACTGCAAGTCCATATTTCTTGCATTCACCATAGATAAAAGTAAAATTTTCATAATTTTTCATGCATGTCACATACATAAGTTGGCTTGGAATAACTCAGATAATCTTACTATGGCAAGCATGGGTTATTGCGGTCCACACTCTTTCGTATTATTCTATTTCTCTCTATTCAATGACATTGTATTCTATACCGTTTTCCTGGAGTCAGGATAGAAAAGTTAAATTATTGTATGTTGGAAAATAATTATACAGACAATGTAATTAAGATGTTGGATATTTCGGAAAACATTGTAAGTATATGTTGAAAAAAAAAAAAAATAAAATGTTTTACTGGCCAGAATTCACTATCTAGCGCAACAGCTAATGACAATTATTTTTTAGGAAAAATTGGGGTAATGTAATAGTTTAGGCTGTAAGTACTAGTGTAAAACTGTCGAATTATTTTTAAGAAAAGTATTTCTAATCACAGATAATCAATTACCTGCTAAAAAAATGTTCATTTTCAATTAATTTAAAATAAAAATTGGTTTCGAGAATTCATTAATCATAATTATGAGTATCTAACCTTGAAGGAAAATCACATGTTAAGATTAATAAAAAACCTAACAAAGATGATATTGTTCAAACACCAATGAAAATTTTAAAAACTAAATTTGTATTGTTTGTTCCTTATAAACTTTAATTAAATAGTATTTTTTATTTATAATTTATTAGTGTCGTTTTCTAATGTAATATAAATGTTATAAGTTTAATAACAGGATGTTAATATATATTGAGGGTCGATCTTTTCACCTTCAGATAAAGTGTCAGGTAATTTTTATTTTCCAAGTAACTTAAAAAGTAATCTTTTCACCTCTGGATAAACTTAACTTCTAAATGATAAATTATCTTATTTAAGAAATTTCTGATAAAATACTTCACTGATGGATAAGCAGGTAGTTACATGACCACATAAGGTTAAAAACTACTGGATACCTACCACACATATTATTTACTTGAAAAAATAGAAAATTAATTATCTGACAGACAGTAACTCTCAGATAATATATCCGTCAGTTAGTTATCTGGAACTTTATCTGAAGGTGAAAAGACCGACCCTTTTATTAATATAGTATTATAATTACACAAGGTAAAAAAGTAAAACCTTCGCACTTGGCAAAATCGAAGCTTTGTTACTACTTATTCTCTCAGAACCTCCGTCCATGTAAGTGGGTGAATTTACCGTCTTTGCAGATTCCTTTATTGACCGAAATCGAGAATGTCTATTTCTTGCTGATGAGTTCTAATAAGGACAAAACCGGTGCAAGAATAACGTTCTCTTTGGTAAGCAAGATCAAAGTTTGAATGCTCAAATAATAATTTTTTATCTTTGTTGTTTTTCTTTGGATATAATTTAATGTCTGTTGCGGAATTAGTCAAAGGAGTAGTTTTTTCCAAAGGGAAACGGTTACTTGTTTTATTTTGTAACACATGGTGTAGATAATTTTTTGTTTTCATTTATTTTACGTTTTGGTCACATTTAAGTTTGGATTTATTTTTCCTTTTAAATAAAATATTTGACTATATGTTTTTGATAATAATTTTAAATTTACTAAATAGTATTCCCATAATCTCTAAATTATTTTGATTGATGATTCTTAATATACGCTCAAGTGCATTCCATAGTACCTACTGTGGAACGATATTTCAAATACATTTGAATTCCTTAGTTTTGTAGTTTTTATATGAAATAAAATACTTTTAAAATCTGAGCAATCAATATTTCCATGTAAATATATATGCAAAATATATATTTTTGCTTATGTTAAATCACGTATAACACACGTAAAACTAACCAATGTCAAGACTTAATTTTTAACCATTAAACGTCATTTTTTGAATACCTACACAATTATAAATTAATAAAAGTTAAACACATCAAGCAGAACATCAAGTTTAAGACACAGAAATCAAAATAAGAATTTTAAAATTTGGCAAATGTCAAATAATCTAAATTTTATGTCGCATGTAATGCGTCGTTGCCATATCCATTTTTTTAGATTATATTAAAGGAGATTATACATAATGATATAAAATGAAAAAAATTATAGAATATTCAGTTAACAGTTTTAGATTATTACCTACTCGAAATTTGTTTTTCACACAAAATTAATAAAAAAATATTATTTTTGAAATAATGCTGAAACGACTTTATTTCAAACAAAACCACTCAAACAAACCGATTTAAAATAACATCACTCACCCTGCGGACTCGTGATGTTATCAGTTGGCTTGTTTTCGTGGTTTTTCCAAATAAAGACGCTTTGTGAATACTAAAAATTTACTCGATAAAATTTGGAAGACTTGTGGTATTCTCTTAAAAAAAACACTTTTTTTTTCATATGCATTTTTCTTAAGTCTGAAGTGGACTAAATATTGAAACTTTGGGGAAAAAACGACTCATTTGTGATTAACTTATTCTCTTAGTGATTTTGAAGAAAGAAGATTTGCAAAAAAATACTAAAAAAAAATAAAATAGTATTGGAATGACACTGTTGCCATATGAGAAATTTATTTCTATTTTTTTTATGCATTTTGTATCGCTTTTTTATTCAAAACAGTTCTAAAATCTTTAAATGCGTTTTTCCAAGGATTAACAAATTGGAAGAAAACTGACACAACTCAATTTTTAATTTTCAATACTGTTCACACAGACAATTCAAAACCAATGAAGTTTTTTCTAAGAGAATGTTATAAAAATAAATGGCAGTTCCGTCCTCCAGAGAGCAGATATGTCAGATTTGAAATCTGTAATCTGTAACTAAAAATGTTACATATTCAATTCAGGTGTTCGCTAGTCGTCTTGAGTAATGCAGGTTATTATTTTTGTTCAATGTTTTTGAGAAAAACCGTTACATTAAGTTATTTTTTATAATTAACGTATTATTTTTAGATGTGCCACTTTTGTTTCGAAAAGATTTTTGTATACTAGTTGTAAATGTTTTATTTTAACTTATCTTGTTATTTTCTAGAATTAATGATTTTTTACCATTTTTTATCATATTTAGACTTGTGCCGCTATTAACCAAAATAATTTAGTATAGAAATTATTTTTTGTTTAAGTATAACATCTTAAAATATTTTTTTTAGGTCCTTTTAAATTCATGAAGAGAAAGCCAGATCAAATTCCAGCTTAAAAAATGTGTCATACATTAAATAAAAATATAATTTTCATATAGAAGACAGCTTTATTGACATTAAAATCAATAAATCAGTAAATTACAAAAATTTAGTAGTTGGACATAGTCAAGAAAAGATATATTGCTCATTTTACTACAGATAGACAAATTAAAAAGCAAGAAAATTTGTCCAAACTTCAATATGTAAGGCTAAATAGTTTAGCTCCTTATAACGATTTTTAGTCATTTATAATAAATATGTATAGCTATTTATAGCAATGCACATTTGTGTATAGCGATTAATGTTGAATAATAGCGAATAATAGAAATTTATAGAAATTAATAGAAATTTATAACGATTAATAGCTATTTATAGCCATTTATAAATATGTATAGCGATTATTAGCTAATAATTTATAGCAATGTATAGCGATTTCTAACACTTTATAGTTTTTAATGTTATTTTTAATATTACATTTTGTTTCTCTAATCATTTCCAAGACCTTAGGAGTAACTGTGAATCTTTACTTTAAATTTGGCAAAACAGTTTATTTTTTGAAACAAATATTTTAATTTGGATTTTTATGAAAATTTGAAAACGTTTTATCTTGAAATTTGTTGTTTTTGAGTTTTGTCGGTGTTCTTCCGAAGAGACATTTGCACTTACGTCAATGTTTCTCCGGAGGCCGAAGCTACGATATTATACCGAAAAATCAATTTTTTTTTTAATTTGATGTCATCGGCGTCGACTACTACGGCCATTAGCCTCGTGTTCTGTGTAGGCTTTGTTACCGTTTTCCAGCGCCACTTTAGGAACAGCACTGTTAATTAGAACCCAACAGTGAATGGTCGAGTCGGGAATCCTACCAAGGCATCAGAATTAATTTTAAATAATTAAATTAAATGAAAAAATCCCGGCCAACGGTGGGATTCGATCCTGAAAATCAATTTTTAAAATTAGTTTCAGTTTTAAGGTATTGCTCCATAAAATTTTTCTGTTTTTAGCATGTTTAAGATATTTCTAATTTGTCATTGTAGTTTTTTTATTTGTAGGTTTAAAAATAAAAAATTGAAAATTGGAAAATGAGAAATATTTTTTTGTTTTAGTTAAACTGCTTTAAAAATAAAACTAAAAAAATATATTCTTTTATTCTATCCTATAATCATTGACTAGTAGGTAACAGCAAATTCATACAGGAAAAATTCCTTCCATGCACAAAAAAGCATTTGAGATTATTTTTAAAATTATTTTCAGTGTTTCAGTTGCTCCTTAAAATGTTTCTATTATGTTTAGCATGTTTAATTTATTCCTAATGTGTCATTGTTATTTTTTTAAATTATAGTTCTAAATATGTTTTATTCAACTGTGACTTAAGAGTATATTTGATCTATTTTAAAGGTATTTTTAAAACTTTTTCTAAAATTTTATGTATTTCTTTTTTGAACAATTTCTACAAATATGTATATTTACGTTTATTACGTTAACGGTCCCAATATCACAAATCACATTTCTCACGTTGCGCCATACCGAAAAAAAATCACAAACATCACAAACTTCATGCTCGAAAAACAAAACCAGTGCACCTGTCACACGCTACGCCGACTTTGAATAATAGCAACAAAGAAAACAGTTGAAGAGCGAGTTTCGCAGCACTCTTTGACCAGCGCGAGACCGTCAAGTCGGTGGGTCAGTTCAACAATTCTCGAGATGGTAAGAGTAGGATTGAATGGTCTAGTGGTCCAGCGCCACAGCTTGCTTGCTACCAATCAGACGATATTAATGAATACACCTACAATTCCACTGGTAGCTGGTGGCCGTTTGGTCATTGATTTCTTCTGGAATACGTTCAGTATTTAAATATAGACAAATGTGAATGGTTTGGATGAATCACAGTTCGTAAAAAACAGGAATAATTATTGAACATCAATATATAAGAAAATATACCACTTTTAAATAACTTAATTGCAGTAGTTTCGAAATTATTTCAAATTTTTTTTCTTGACATTTTATGACATCTAGAATTAAAATAACATACTAGGGCATAATTGTAAACATAATAACATTAAAATGTAATACTCACGCATCAGTCACCATCATCAGGCCTGTTCGAAAAGTATGTGATGTAGAGTTGTTATGCAATGATAATTATGATATTTAAACAAATACTACAGAGTTATCTATGGAACATTCTAAAATTATAAAAATGAACAGGAAATATCTAAGAGTTAAAATTTCATGAAATTTAACAATGTTATGATAATCAAAATATTATTGTAAATAAGAGCTGAAAGCGACTACAAATGAGATATGCGAACAATATGTGGAAAATAAAAAGAGAAAGAATCATGGGTAAGTGATAACACCTCAGTCTGGAAACAGAGCAAATGCTCGGAGTGTGAGAGCAGAGTTTGAGCCTTTACTCACATTGGTAATAATAAACACAAGTTAAGCATGTTGTAATGGTTCCACCCTGTATAAGTTGCACTAATTACACTATTATACGAGCTCTTAGGGAAGTGGTTTTAATGGTTTTCTGCAATTTAAAAGAAAATCAATGCGTAAATAAATGTTTAAAAGTAAACTAAAAAATTAAAATATAAAAAAAAACTTCTGGTCCTCTTCCTTATTCTATAACTCTTGTAAACCTATTCTAATTTCTTTACCTCCTAGGTTACAATTCCTGCCTTTTATTCTAACTACTAGAACTTTATATAACTCCCGTTTTCCCGCCTATTTTCCTATTGATGTTTCTACTTTAACCTCGTCCTTTTACTCCTTCTTTCTGCAACATGTTTCACCTTTCTCTTTACTTCAAATAAAACTTTTAACTTTTTGTACTCCTTTTAACTTTATTTAACTTCTATAAAACTTTCTAACTTTTCTTTAACAATCTTTTCTATTATTTATACATTTTGACTTCCTGATAATTCTAAAAATTCCAATCAATAATATTCTAATCTGGTCACCGTCATGATACTAGGACGAACAGCTAAGCTTACTTGGGGTACGAATTTTGAATCAAGCCGCGCATGACGTCATCGCGTGACAAAAGTATACGGGGACGATATAGCTTTTCATTTTATTTTTGTTTTAAAATTGCTGAAATATTCGTTATGACTCTTTTATATATTATTTAAATAGGTAAAATAAAAACAAGTGTACATAATATAATGTTTATTTAATAGAAACATCAAATGTATACATTATGTGGTTTTAATTTCTTTACTTTGTAAGATATTTTTGTGTTTTTAAAAAATTTCTCACTTATAAACAAATAATTTATAATCACTATTGTAATACAATAATTTGGGCTTTTATATTAGTTTTATTTGCACAGTACAAAATAGCTATAGAAATTATGATTAAATACTATTTTGTAATTAATTTTGGAAGATAGTTTTGATTAGTTTTTTAAACATATTTAGTAAAGGTTTTTCATATTTTACTTATCTCCGAGCAATTACTACTAGAGGGAGTCTTCCCCCATTCCCTGCTTTAAATTTTGTAAGCAACATCTACTCCCCCGAGGGGGGAAATCCCTCTCCTGTAATTGGCTTATTTAATCAGCATTGCCAAGTTTGACAGCGTCAGTTCTGACAGTTTCTCACACAAATCAATTTTTACTTTGTATTTTACGAAAAATATAATTATTTATAGCGCTGTAAGGGTTGTAAATGTTTATTTAAAATTTATTATCTCTAATAATATGGCGAAAACATGCTTTATGTGTAGAAGACCGGTTGAAAATGCTTCTTCAAGATTATATCATAAGTAAGTACAAACACAACCTAATTATTAGAGGCGGTGCATTAGGCAATCGCCTTTTATTTGCAATTAAACTTTATTTTGTTATCGAAAAGGTAAAATTAAGAAGGAATAAACAACTAAGTTCGTCTTTATCCATCTTATAATGATTATAGTAAAGGTTAATTACTTATTAACATAAATAAAGAAAATTTAAACCTGTGACTTTATTTTAATACCACATCTTTGTAAAGTTTATTGTTATTTTTTTATTGCAGGTTTCCTTTTCTTGATATGATAAAAAGAAATAAATGGTTCCAAAATTAAGGAATACAACAAGTGAATAACTTTTTATGCTAATGAAGATTTTTATTACAGAACGCAAGAGAGAAAAATATTAAAGAAAAATGCAATTTCAGTTAATTTCGACGAGAGAGGTATAATAATAATTCCTGTCACTTCTTCCTCACCATATTCATCTGCTACTAAAATACTAAAACAGCAAAGGAAGCAGAGAAACTTAAATTTTCTTCAAAAAGAATGTTTAAGGAAAAAGACAATGCCCTTTTTTTTGTTGAAAATTTTTTTAAAACTAATTTATTCGACCAATTTTGTGTATTGTTTAAATTTTTATAATATGTACTAAATTAATTTTTATGTTTAAACAAAATGAACCTCAAAGATATGGTGATGATAATATGGAGTATCCCAAAAAAGCAAAAAGATTTTAAAATTCTTAAGAAAACTATTAAACAGTTTTTTGTGTATGCTAACAAACACTCGTAAATGGTTTCGGGAACTATCTCTACGAAGAGTCCAAGAATACCAAAAATGAATTTCACTGCTACATACTATTGGAATGAGTGCGATGTGACACCGCCTCCTGCTATAAAGGATTTTACTGTTGATAAAATTAGGGATCTTATAAACGAAACCGAAATTACCGACATTGATTTTCCGAAGTTCCCTTGCCATATTTAATCCGTGGAAGGATGCGTAATAGTAGTTTTCCTACGACCACTTAGGAAAGTGTCACATATCACACTATATATTCCTATGGAAAGTGCCCTATATCACACGCGTTTGAATAAGAATTTACTTTTCACCCTTGTACGAATATGCTACTTTCTATTTTGATCTATGTAATGCCCATATTAATACTAAAATCGATATGATTGTTAAATTATTGAAATTGTTGTAAATTAGATCCTATATATTTATCTTTAACAATTATTATTCAAATAATTTTAAAATAACTAAGATATGTTTGCTCTTTATTCTGATTAAACACATAACCGATTAGATCATTCAATTGACGACGCAAGGCCCAGAAGCTTAGATGTTTAGAGCGTCAAACTTATCAATTTTGCCATTTGAGACCTGGCGAGCGACCGCGTTCAAATCCTGGCGGGACCAGAATTTTTTTTTATTTTTTTTTGTTTTTATTTTTTTTTTGTTTAGAAAATATGAAAATTGAATAAATACGATTATTGTTGATTATTTTTTTAAATACATTTTAATTATTATAATAATAACCTGGTTTTACATTTTTTTGATGAAATTATTTTGTGGTCGTAGGAAAAATATTGTACATCACTTGTGTGAAAAGTAATTTTCCACACTCGTGTGATAGTCGCACTCGGCTTGTGCCTCGTGCGACAATATTTCCCACTCGTGTGAAAAATGTCACTTTCCACACTCGTAATGTAATATACTATTACCTATCAAGTGCGGAAAGTAATACTTTTCCGCACGCGATTGCAGATAGCCGAAAGATTAATATTGAATGTGCAATTTGTAGCATTCTGCAAAATAATTGCAGAGGCTAAAATGTTTTCCAATGAAGTCAGATTTCGGTTTTCCACTGCTTTCTCAGCACTAATTGTTGCAACCGTGGCGATGGGAACTTGGCTGGAAGAGGTCATTTTGGAAGGATTTACTGATGGTGACAGCTGCTGACTAGTGGAAGGGCCAGCGACAGCGTCATTAAAGTTTAATATTTTATTCGATAGGCCCTTTTGGAAACTTGGTGAGCTTTCTACATAACCTTCTGCGACGTTAGAAGATTTCCAACCTCCAAGGCGTTTAATATTTGATATTCCTTCTCCGAAATCTGCAAGAATTGTGGCGGCGGAACGCCGGAAACTGTGGCCCGTATATAATTCAGGATTTGGAAGCTTCAGATAACTTGCAATCTCTGATGGCATTTTTTCGGAGGTGTTTATTCCGATACATTGTACAGTGCAAATCCCTTTCTTATATTTCACGAAAAATCGCTTATGTGGGGTTTCAGGCTTTCTTAAACTCACATATTTTCTGATCAAATTGAGCAACTTTCCATTTTTAGCTGCTTCAGAAATCGCAAAGCTTCTTAAAGAGTGGTTTTTTGTGTCTGGGATATTTATCAATAATATATTTCCTTTGTCATCAATATGATCTAAAGACATCTTTGTTAATTCTTCTCGTCTACATGCGCCCGCGAAACCAAAAATCGTAGCGACTTTTATATATGAAGATAAATTTTGTCAGGCGCTTCATTTATAGACTTTAAAATTTCTTCTTTTGAGAAAATTTTAGCCTTTTTTGGTCTAAATCCAATGTTTTGTTTTTTTATATATGCCGTCACCTTGAAAAACTTTCTTTTTTTTTGAGTTTAGTTACACTTTTTAACATTGAGTAGCTGGACCAACCAGTGTTTGTCTTGCATGCTTTGGAAATTTCAGCGAAATAAGTCAAAAAAACGTCTTCTTTAAAAGTTTTAACTCCCTGAGAATAGCCCTGATTCTTTTATCAAAGCCCTGAGTGAACAAAAAAAATATTTCTGCAATAGGCCACGACTGAGTGAGATAAAGATACGAGTCATGTTCGTGATAACTACAAAAGGCTCTTAATTAAATTCAAACTGACACTTATAAAGAAGAAAAATTATTGATCTTTAGAAACATCTTTTTTGGGTAATTTATTACTATAAGAAAAAAAGAACCATTTCATGATATTTCAGTTTATTTTATTTCCTTTTATCTAGGTAAATATATTTTATTTATTGAAATCAATTTT